TTCTTCCCCTGTGAAAAGGATCCCTATGATTGACATTAACTCTGGCCAGGTGTAAGTATTGGGGCCGAGAAACTGATCCACTTGTTCTGCCAAACCCACAGGGTCTTCTAACAATGATTTCATCTCCTTTCTAAACTCTCTCGCTTCTGAGGTGCTCAAAGGGGCATTCACAAACCCCAGTCCTCCCTGTGCTATCGGGACCTCTCTTAGGGGAAAGGATTCAACCTTGGTCTTGGAGGGGAGGGGAAAATTCTCCTGATCCCTAACTGATTGCTTAAACTCTCTCCTGAGAGGGCCTTGAGGAATGGATGGGTTGAAATCAATCAGGTTACTATCGGTTCCCTCCTCTGCAAGCGAGAGTGGGGCAGAAGGAGATTCCAGTCCCCCTGCAACCACGGGCAGAGCCGGTGGTGGAGGGGCATATGGTGGGGATAACGAAAGGAGGGGGTCCCAAGGATGGGGCTTCTGTTCTTCTAATCCCTTTTACGGCTTCTCCTCCTCCTGTTTTATCAGTACAAATTGTCCCACCACTGGCAGCCATAAAGCTGCATATTCACTTTCTTCCGAATTAAATGGAGTTTTAGAATTGACATGTAAATTTAATTGTTGGCATACCCAGTCCTCAGAGGATCCCTATTTTGGCTAGAATATGTTTCCTCCCAGCAGGATGCCGCCCCAAACAATACAACAGTATTTAAGCATCTTCTTTTTATCTTTTCCCTTATATATGGATGATTCATCCCCATTTTTAAGTCTGCTCCCTAGAGGACTATCCTCTGGGATATTGGGAAGGCTTTTCGTGCTAGCTACCTTAAGACTGTTCCTTTCCCATGGTTCACGAGTTCTTGTCCCCTTTCTAAGGACTCACTCGGTCTCACCAAAATTTCCAGGGAGCGGGAGTCTTACGTACTCGAACCGCTTAGACCTCCCCCTCTCCCCTAACAGGTCACCCGGGGCTCACCATCTTGTCATCTTGCCCAGAGGACTCACTGGACCTTGCTTACCTGGGTTGTGTGCACAATTTCTGTGACCCAAAATTCAGTCTCCTTTATTCAGTGGTCTTCGCTAGCACAGTTGGAGCTCCTTTTACTTTCGTTTCTACTTTCTCCAAGTTCCTCTCTTCAGGATCCTTTACCCAGCCAGAGTAAGTTCCCCCACTGAGATCCAAGGACCAGTGGAGAAATCTCTGGTGGGTACCTGCCCAAGGATCTTAGTGAGAACCACCCCCTCCAGGCGGGAAATTTTCCCAGCCAATGCACCAGAAAGCTGTGTGGGACAGCGATGACCCTTACCCAAATTAATTTAGAGGTTTCTCCAGGTAGAAAGTAGAAAAAGATTTTATTTTGATCTTGAGAAAGGGTGACTCACACCCAAAGGCAGTTCGATACAAGACCGCAGCTGGTATCAGCCAAACAAACATTTTTATAGGTTCTAACCACAACTCCTCCCTAGCCCCTACCTCTTAGCCCCAGCAACAGCAGTGGAAATTACAGAATTGTTACATAGGTTGCACCTGCCTCTCACTCCTTCAAGTATCCTCTTAGTACATCCTGTTTTTGTTCATTTCAGATCCTGGAATAATTTGTGGTGGTGATTATTTTTGCAATAATTTGAACATATTTATCCAGGCTATTTACAAGCTTCCTGACCTGAAACACATATACATATATATTATTATTAGGGGTCTTTACCTTATTTTACTCATTTAAGTTTAAATTTTATGAGGGGTCTTCACCAATCCCACTCAACTATGAATAAACAAAAATACAATGTAGTGTTGGCTAAATTACTGAGAGTTAAGTTTGGAAAGAAAAGGATGTTGCTAATTTTTTTAAAGGGAAAACAAAAGGCAAGAGAAAGAGAGTTGATCGTAACAAAGTTATTATCTTTGACAAGGAGGGCTGGGACATCTAATTTTAGAAATATCTATTAGCATAAAACATAGTTACTCTGTTTAGTGTTTGATTTTGATTTAATAATAGAAATAAAATAAAGTCCTTTACTTTCTTCTGATAATATTAACAATTTAACAAATGGTTAAATGAGTGAAATTTTATAGTTGTGATAGATAATTATTGATTATCAACATAAGGAGAAAGGGTTACATAATGGATTTGAAAAAAAATCCAACGTATTTACAGAAAACATATCTCCTACAAAAATACGTACACAGATTTAACTTGAAATGTCAGGCTAAAATTTGTCATGTCAGTTTTCTTATACCATCTCTCACCCTCTCCCATTTTATGGGTTGTTTTATCTCTTCACATTTAAAGTTATGAGAATTAGATTTATATTTTCCTTCATTTCTCTCCTTTTTTTTCTGAATTAGGGTTTTGTTGTTGTTCTTTCTCTGCAAAGAAAATACTTTGTCTCTTTAGTAATTTTTGCTTAATCTACATTAAAGTAATATTATTCCTACAAGCTCTCTTCTCTTCATTAATAAATGCTTACTGACTAATTGACTGAGAAAAGGGAATTAATTTTAATTATAAATAAGAAATACGCTTATTGATTAAGCAAATGGAAAAAAGAGGAGACAAAATTAATGGATTTAATTACACAAACACAAATAGATTTTGCACGCTAGAAATAAAAGTATTGAAAATAAAAAGAAAATGAATAGTTGGAAAATCTTTCTGGTAGGTATATCATGGGAAAAATCTAATATCCAGACTCTATAAAGAGCCAACATAAATTATAAACAGTTTCTTCATCTGCAAAATTGGAAAATTAATAGCCCCTACCTCATAAGATCATTGTGAGGGACCAATGAAATAAAGTGTTAAAGTAATAGTACCTGACATTTATATAGTACTTTAAGGTATGTAAAGTGCTTTATATACATTATCTCATTTGATATAAGAATTCTGTGGGTTGTTATTAGGTATTATTTTCCCCATTTTACAGATAAGGAAGCTGAGGCACTTTGGAACCTTAAAGCACTTTATAAATGTTAGTTATTATGGTTATTATTATTATAACTTTGAGGTATTATTTCATATTATTGGTAGAATTAAAAATTGGTAGTTTTTTTGGAAAACATAGGATCAAAAAGATTTTTATAGAATTGAAAGGGCCTTTTCCTATAATCTTGTCAAAACCTTCATTTTACAGAAGAGAAAATAAGACCCTAAAAGGTTAAATGATTTGTCCAAAGTCAGCTAATTAATGAGTTGAAGAACTGGGATGTGAGCCTAGGACTTTTGATTCCAGATCCAGTTCTCTTTCCTCAATACCACCTGATAATCGGATCGGCAAAACTACTTCAAGAATCATGTTCTAAGGATGTTGTTAAAAGCACCAAAAGATCTATCCATACAAAAAATAATCAGTTGTTTTATCTGAAATAGCGAAAAACTGGAAACAACCATGATGTCCAATGATTGGGGAGTTGTTAAATACTCTGTGTAATTAATAATTATTGTATTATAAAATATGACAAAGAGGAAACAGGTATAGAAAACCTTGGATGAAATAATACAAAGTAAAGAAAGCAGAATTAGAACAATTTTCAGGCTGACCATGACTACATTAAAAAACAGTAACAGCAGCAAAATTTTGTAAGTGTGTCAAAGAAATTATCGGGAGGAAGGGGAATGGAAGGGAATAAGCATTTATACAGTGCCAACTATGTGCTAGGCAATTTTTTTTTTTTTTTTTGCTTTTTGGTGAGGCAACCAGGGTTAAGTGACTTGCCCAGGATCACACAGTTAGTAAGTGTTAAGTGTCTGAGGCCGAATTTGAACTCAAGTCCTCCTGACTCCAAGGCCAGAGCTCTATCCACTGCACCACTTAGCTGCCGCTGTGCTAAGAATTTTTTTTTTTTACAAATATCATCTTATTTGATCTTCACAATAACCCTATAAGTAGGTGTGTTGTTATTCCCATTTTGCAACTGAAGAAACTGAGGCAACCAGAGGTTAAATGACTTGTCAAGAGTCACACAGCTAGAAAATGTCTGAGTCCAAATTAGAACTACAGTCTTCCTGACTTCAGGCCCAGTACTCTGTCCACTGTGCCACTGGTAAACCAGTTTTTAAAATAAGTTTATTAAAGTTTCTATTTTTTCTCATATCAAAATCTATTAAGAAACATTATAATCTGTGAAGAATTAAGGCAATGGAAAGATGTCTGATAGGCACAAGTAGGTAAGTAGCAGTATGCTGCCAACTATGACCTCTTCTTAAGAAGTTCCATAAAAGGTTTCATGCTGGAGATGTAGGATTGGCAAAGGAGGTGAGTCAGTCACATATCAAGAAGGAGAAAAAAGAGACAGAAAGCTCAAATGTTACACCAGTAATCATAGAATATTAAAGGATCTAGGAGAAAGATTCCAGGACACTGACTCAAGCCCCTACAAAGAATTATTAGGAGGGCATGAATGTGAGTTCTACAGGATGAGGAGTGGGTAGGTTGTAATTGGCACCATTGCAGGGAGTAACCCTAGCAACGACATCATGGATCCATTGAAGTAATTAATTACTTGGTTTTTTGTTTGTTTGTTTGTTTAGTCGTTTTTCAGTCATGTCTGACTCTTTGTGACCCCATTTGGGGTTTTCTTGACAGAGATACTGAAGTGGTTTGCCATTTCCTTCGGCTCATTTTACAGATGAGGAAACTGAGGTAAACAGGGTTAAGTGACTTGCCCAGGGTCACAGAGTTATTAAGTGTCTGAGGCCAGATTTGAACTCTGGAAGAAGAGTCTTCCTAACTCCAGGCTTAGCACTCTTATCCACTGCACCACCTAGCTGCCCTAATTACTGATGATCAATATGTAAATAGTCCAAGTTCTATGGTTTTATTTTGTATCTTATTCCCTAGTTTAGTTTTTAAAAGTATTTCTGGTATTTTTTCAGATGGTTGAGTTTATATTTTTTTAAAAAGAGAATGCAGAATATTACTTGGGACAAAGCATCTGAAGTATTTCCTCAGCACCTAGAGTGACATTTAACTTTCCTCCCCCCTCAAAAAAATTAATACTCATTCAGATAACTTACCAAACAATTTTGGTGTGCTACTAATTCCAAATCTTGTGAGACATATAGTATACCACGTTCATCATCTTGAGGACACAGATCACAAGTTATTTTTACCATCCTTTCTTGGAAGATACCTGTAATTAACATGATTAGTCAGGAAAGTTAAGTCAGCCAACCAGCATTTATTAACTGCTTACTATAAGAATAGAAATCCAATTAAGCAAGAGGTGGGTAATTACTTTATTTTCTTTCTTTAAAATTTTTTTTTGTAATTATATCATTATCATTCCTTCTCCTTTCCCAAATTAAACCATCCCTTTTGCCAAAATACCTCTGTATTTTAATCGAGGATTCTTACCCTACAGGGGAGAAAATAAACTGGGTAAATAATTTAGGTTTTTTAAATGTGTGAAAAGTAGAAACTGTTCAGTGCACCCCTGATGGGGTGCTTGGGTGCTTGTGCTTGTACTTGGACCCCAATTTCTCCCTAGCCTCAGAAACACTGTCTCTGACAATCACTCCCCAGCCCAAGGACACTGTGCCTAGCAATTACTCGTGCATGGGACCCAGCACAGCCCTTATCTCTCTCCCTGGTGCAGCTACACAAAGCTGGGTGAGAGAGTGCTGGGCTGCTCAGGCCCCAGCCCTCAGATCATGTCTCTAGAAGCCTCCCAATTCCTTAGTAGGCTCCTGTCTTGTGAGAAAGCTTTCCCTTGTTGCAGCGCATTATCTCATCAAGACAGAGAGAGGGGGGTGCCTTGCCCAGCCCAAGGAGTTTTGTCCTTGGCTGGCCCAAGGACTCTTCCTCCTGCCAGACTCCAAAGATCCATACCTCTGTCATCTCCCTCCCTGTCTGGTATACTACCTGTACTTTCTCATCCATAGCTCCCAAAGACACCTGGACCTTTAGATTACCTCATCAGTGTCCCTGGCATTGCTTTCCCATGCCCTTTTCCATATAAACCCCAGCTCCATCCTCAGTCTCTTGCAGGTTCCTTAAGAATCCTTGCCCGCTGAAAAGCATAATAATAAACTTTTTGCAACTTGACTTAAAGATTGCTTGAGTTTGTGAATTCATTCCAGACGACCCCGTCTTGTACTTCGGTCTTTGAAGGGTGTCAATCTCTCAGACCTCAACACCCCCACTTTAAAAAAATTAAGAATAAAATTTCATTGATGCCCATCAATTGGGCAATGGTTGAACAAGTTGTGGTATATGATTGTGATGGAATACTTCTGTGCTGAAAGATGATCTTAGAAAAACATGGAAAGACTTGCACAAAATAACAAAGAACAAAATGAGCAGAACCAAGAGAACATTGTACACAGTAACAGCAATATTGTTTTAAGAACAACTTTGAGCAAATAAGTTATTTTGACAATTACAAATACCCAAATTAACTATAAAGGACATGTAAAGAAAGATGCTATCTGCATCCAGAGAAAGAACTAGATAAATAGAAGTATGTATAGAATAATTTTACACATATACATATAGGTATATATGTAAACCATTTTGTCTACTGGTAGCCATCTCTAGGCCGGGGAGGGGGGGAGGTTTGAGGTGAAAGGGAAAAAAGGAAAAAAAACACATTTACATGACAATTTTGTTGTATATTTGAAAGGAATAGCAAGTTGTGCATAGTAGATTTGTAGTTTCATGTGCAATCATCTTTTTTTATTGTACTATGTTATGGAAATGCTTGTTTTATTCCAGAAATTAAAAATAAAATAAATTTTTAAAAAAGAATAAAATTTCATTTAATAAATATTTTAATGCTATATGATGATAAGTAAAAAAAGAATTAAATAGAGGGAGTAAAGGATAAGAGGAGGAAAAAAATGTAAGAGAATGGAAATGAAGAGGAGGAGAGAGAGAGATCAGACAAAAAGGAAAGGAAGGATAAAAAAAGAGACAGAAGCTCTGAATATCCTAAGGTTACTGTGTTAAGACAAAATAAACTTCTCAAGTTACAAAGACTTTTCCCTTATCATTAACTGGGCCTGTGGACATCTGTATTAAGTAAAGGTATGTTCTTTAAGGTATGACCTTTAAAATATTCCATCATTGTCCATTAACCCAGAGGAATGTTGTTCATACTACAGAATAGTTTGGGATTTTAATATTCAAAGTTGTTTTGGTTTTTGAAACAAGTTTCTTTTACCATGCAATTATAAAGTCTTTAAACTTATGAAAAGAGATGGTTTAGGGCAGGAGTGGGGCCACATTTGAGGACCTAGAGGGCCACGTGTGTCCTCGAGACCACAGGTTCCCCACCCCTAGTTTAGGTCATTTTGTTAGTAGCTATTGCCTAAAAATCCTTTTTGAAACTAAAAAACTTGACTGTTTTTCTAAATTATAGCAATCTTGTCCCATAATTCCAAAAGATACATTTGGAAGTATTATTTATTTCATTGTCCTGAGCTTTGCTTTAAAAAATAAAATCAAATCTACTTTTTTAGACTATTTAAGTCCTAGTGGGAATAATTTGTAGGAAGCAAAAAAATCTTAGTGATAAAGCTTTCAATAATAAATACGCCCCAATTCAATCAAACACACACCAAAAAAAGTCTTTGCTCTCAAAAAACTTACATTCGACTACAGTTTACATTCTATTTTTCATTCATTTCAGTCAGCTAATGTCAACAGTACATCAATAAGCACACGTTCATTAAATGCCTACTGTGTAATGTGCTGCAAAATTAATTAAGCAAGTTAACTAAGTTCTCTGAACCTCAGTTTTTGGGGTAGGTCCTAGGGACACATACAATGAACAAATGAGTTCTGTGTGGAATGGTCTGTGCTGTCTTTGGAAAGTGTGAGAGTGTCTAAGAAGGCATGGTTCCTGCCCTCAAGGAAATTAAATGACTGGAAAGTTAAGTATACTATACCAAAGTTTAATGATGCAAAAAATGCTACAGGGCAGTGAGTACAAGATTAATTCCCAAATCAATATCACAATATCACACAATCCACTTTATTATTATTATGCAGCTTGGATTCAGTCAAAGGGACTCACTTCAGGACTTAGAGGGCCCTATGTGGCCTCCAGGCTGCAGGTTCCCCACCCTTGATCTAGTCCCAAACCTACCTGATGCATGAATTTTTTTCTACACTATCCCTAATAAGTCTGAAGGCTTCCAATGACAGGACGCTTCCTAACTACCTTCCATCCAAGGACTATTGAAATAAGAATAAATCAATCAAGACAACAACAAGCACTTATCCACTACATGCCAGGCACTGCCCTTGATGCTGGAGATACAAAGACAAAAAAGAGAAACATTCACTGGCTCAGGAAGCATACTTTCTACATTGGAGAAGAAACGTATTCATATATAAACATAGCACAGGCATGACACCAATCTTCCCAATTTTCCCTAGGCTCTCTTTCTTCCTGAAGTGGGTGGTATCCTGCACTCACACTGGCTGGTCAGAGTGGTTCCCCAGGGAAATGACCACAAAGCAACAACTCACTCTTAAGGTTCCTAAGGGAAAATCTGTTGTGGGGATGATACATTAACTGCTACTCACCACCGAAAGTCCTTAGTCCCCACCAGTGTGTTTCCCATTTAAACAAAAAAGTCACAATAAACTCTTAAACATGAAACATTTACTGAACGAGAAGGCCAAAGCAATAATAAACATAACAAAACAGTCTTTTACTCGTGTAGCTAGCAAAAGCAGGAATAATCCAAGTATGAATCCACCCTTAAGTCTGGCTCATACTCTCACATATTGTCTATAGGCGACAGGAGACACACATTCACAGAAACATAGCCATCAGGCACATGAGAAGTGAAACTCACATGCCTGGGCAAGTCAAGACTCTGGATTGCAGATCCAGATATTGGTGGTTTCTTCCAGGACACTACACTGTTTCTTACCTACTCTTGAGCCTCTCTATTTTCTTGCTGTCTTTTACTTCTCTGCTACTCAGAGGTACCTGGTTCAATGGACAGAGCCCAGGGCCTAGAATCAGTTAGACCTGAAAATCTGCCCTCAGATACTCACTAGCTGAGTAACCCCGGGTAAGTCATTTAATCCTATCTGCCTCACTTTCCTCAATCATAAAATGGAGATAATAGGAGCACCTACCTCCCAGAGTTCTTGTGAGGGTCAAATGGCTCAACACAGAGATAGTACACAGTTAATAAATGCTTGTTCCCTTCTCTTACCCCCACCTTCCAAGCGATATTAAGCTCTTTTAGTAAAGCAATAGTATTACACTCTTTCAGTGAAACAGCAGCCCTAATCCTGGAGTCTGTTGCTTCCAAGTCTGGGTCTTTGGCTGAGGGCTGAAGCAATTTTTAGCTGTTTCCATGACAAGTAGCACCCTCAAGCTTAAGAAGCACAGAGATCCTCAGTTCATCTCTCTGGAGTTCTGAGGAGTTTTTCCCTATCAAGTCTGACAGAGGAGTACAAAGCAACGCAGTTAGTACCCGGAATAGGTTTCCCAGGGCTCAGGCTATAGATGGCAGGCACTACAGAGTGATAATCCCAGGCCAGCTCCAGCTTTCCTCCAATCAACTCCCAGAGCACTTGAAGGGTTTTTCTGTCTTCCTTCCACCAGCTCTCAAATACTAGAGGGTGCTAAAGTACCGTGGCTGGTATAAACAGGTGTTTAATAAATGACTATTGACTCCATTTGACTTGATATCAAACAGTAAGAGGATTCAGCTTCTTCCAAAAAGAATTCCAAGGCTTCATTCAATCCACTCTCTCAGAAATTCCCTACTTAAGCAGCTGCCTTCTTCATCCTCTCATTCATTCGGCTTCTCTGAGGCAGCAAGGGGTAGTCAGTGCTATGAAATTTCCTCTTCGGGTAGAAGCTATGTCTTCTTGTCCTTCTGACCTTTGCCTTCTCACCTTAGTAGTGACCTATCTCTTATTCCAGTTGAAAAACCCCAAAGCCCACAGTTCTATGAGGCATCATACAATCAACAAATAATTCTCCCATAGTCCCCAGACAGTTCTTCAATCTAGAATTTCTCAGCGATCTTCTTCAAAACCCTGAAAACGGGCATATTTAAATGAGCTGATGGACCATGGCATCTTTGCCTTGAATTAGGGCTTTTGCCTCTGAAATACTGTTCTTTTTCCAGTCCTCTCTGAACATTGTGTCTTCACCTC